CATATAGTAGTTACACACTTCGGGCGCAACTGTGTTCCACATGGTTATTGTGGAGTCCGAGTATATCCTTTTTCGTTACATGGACCCTTGTATTCGAGAATCTGAGCTGAAGAGGTCGCACGACGCATTCACCTCCGACAGGGACTCCCGAGGCACCTGTCTTTTCCGATGGCGGTGTGGAGTCATTTTGGGTTCCTTCTTTCTGGAAAGTACCAATCTAGGGTTTAGGGGACTCTGAGCCGTACGTGAGGGTAGGTCCGTTCTACACTGGTTCTGAGGTTGGGATCAGCAGGATCTAGATTTGGAGTTGCAATGCCCGCTGCACTGGTTCTGCGGTCATGCGCTTTCTCCTTTGTTGCGGTCCTAAGTTCCAAAATGGAGCCCTTCTTATTTCCTCTTCCTAGACTACTCAGCATCTTATTTATAGAATAGCTGCAAAGCAAGCTACTCAAAACAAGTCAGGAAATGATTTCGTTCACTTTCTTGTTATGACTCGTCTCATTCTTCTCCCTGATAGGAATTATTAAGTTAAGAGTACTAACAATTATAGCAATAAGATATTGACAGTAGTACTATTATTAATATTGACTCCTACAACCCCAAACCCTAAACCCTAAATCAGGCAGCTTCTTCCCTGCCGCCGTCTGATTCAACTCAGCCTGGGCTCCCTGGTCGGCGGCACCAGGTTCCCCACAGGCTTACTTATTGGGTATAGGATTTAGGGTTTAGCGGTTTTAGGTTTTAGGGATTTGGGGTTTAGGGTTTTAGGGTTTTACGTGTTTGGGGGTTTAGGTTTAGGGTTCAGAGTTTAAAGGTTTAGGTTTTTAGGATTTGGGACTTGGGCTCAGGGGGTAAGTGGGCTGCAGGGCTACTACAGGGGATCGGGATTTCGACGGGTTTGTACGGAATGAAGGGCGATAGGGTATTGGTCTACTACAACATCGTTAGTAGGGAATGAATGACTAGGGTATAGGTGTTACTTGGTGTTACAATTGGAGGTTATACTAGGACTACTATACCACGTGGAGACTAGTATTGGGCTTACTATGACTATATCACATGGAGACTACTCAAGAGTTTAGGGTTTAGGGTGGTGAATAGGCTACAGAGCTATTACAGGGGATTACATAGGGATTGCTCCACCACTAAGCTTGGGGTTTGGTAAGTAGGGAATGAAGGAATAGATTGTGGGGACGACTATGCTTGTGGGGTCTCTGGGGTGGCCTTTGAGGGTTTGGCGCTTGCGCATGCGATTTGTCGAGGATGAAGCGATGAGGGTTGGGAGGGTACACTGCCCCAAACTAACATGGAAACCCATATAGCCCCATTTTAGAGAGACTGTAGTCTTCATAGGGCCTTTTTTGGGTTTCCATGTTAGTTTCCGGGAGGGTATGTGTCTACCTTTGTCATCCTTGGGCTGTACACGCATCAGCTTTCAGATTGACCAACGCTAAGCTGTAGGCAGAGAGCTTAGGATAGTTCAAGCTTCAAGGGGCTTAGGGTTTAGTGGACCTATTTGAAAGCGGGTGGTGGAGGGTTTGGGCTTTGTACTAGCCTAAAGTTCCTGTCGCATGTAAGGGTCCTGTGTCCAGCAGCCCTTTGTGTTGCTATCTCTGCTGGGCGTCCAGGAGGGATTTAGACAAGCCTATTCGACTTTAGTTTCATTTCACGCTGCAAGAGCGAGGTTGGTTGTTTCCCATGCCCTTGGGCTTGCTGAATTGCTGTGATATTGCTCCAGAAACCTCATCCCTCGGCGCGCATATGAAACATGTTGCTGCGAGTTCTTGCGCCTAAGATTCTGGTAGCCTGTGTCCTGCTTGACGAAGGAAATCTGAGTTCAGGCTCCAGATCTGTGTAGTGAGGCGACTGAAAGATGCTGCACATTCTCCAGCCTAGCAGGACCTAGTCTCAAACCTCCCTCCGCTTCAACTTACGTCGTCTGAGCTAAGCAAGACAAACACATGTCAGGAAATAGCAGAGCTTCCAGGTCAAGACTTGCATGACTCTTCCCCAAAGAGAGGCGTTTCCTACTGAGACCTTCAACCAGTAGGAGATGCTCTGTGCTGCTAAAGAAGGTACCGCGGGGAGTTTGAGAAGCGCATGCAGAAGCTGTTGAAGGACTTGCTGCAATGCAAAGCGTCACGAAGGGGTCCATGATTCTGGCTTTAGATTCTGGCTTCAATATCGAAGCTGAGGAGTGTAGTTAGAAGGTACGTTACAGGTTTGAGCTATGCAGTTTGAAAGGTATGCCTGTCCAACCAGAAAGGCCACAGCAATAGAAGTGCCATATGAGGCAGAATCCAAACTCCTTAAAGGGTTTTATATATTCAGGATCATGCACGGGACTACTATAAGAGGTTATTAAGGGGGATACTAGGACTTTGGACACTGGCTCACATGGGCTTTTCTCAACGTTGGGTTGCTCAACTAAACCCATGACATCTAACAGCCCTTATCATTGGGCCCCATGTTGAGAAACCCTGACACAGGAGCTTTTGCAGATGTGATGAAGCCTTTAAAAATCTTGGAAGGGACCCTATGCTCGAATGGACTTTGGATTTCCGGAGTTGGGTCGGGGAGCCTAGTTTCCACAATGGGTTTGTAATCTTAGGCTTATGGAGTAGGTTCATGGCTTAGGCTTTAGGCTTCAGGATTTCGATTAAACACTGTTGATGGGAAAATCCTGCACCAAGGCCATGAGACCTAGGAAAGAACCCCCCCCCTTAAGGGCCATCAGTCCCAGGAATCAGCAGTTGTTTAGGGCATGAGGTGGCGTGGAGTTTCCTTTGTCGGCAGTATGGGAAACCTGCAAGGACACGGTTACCACAAACAGCCTCTCTCCGGTTCTAGTCCAAGTTCTGGAGAACCGGGGCCTCATTTGCTAGCCACCGAGTCTCAACCCAAGTCCTGCCCATACTTGCCCCTGATGCCATCTACATATGAGCTATAGTCTAAACTCCTAGTATGCCCCTTAATCATCCCTATAGTAGTCCCCTATATAATCCCCTTTAAGGAGTTTAGACTATAGCTCATGTGACAGAGCCTGTTTTCTAACTCTTTCTCTACTCAGAAGCCTTGCAAGGGAATGGGAGGCCCTAGCATGGAGGGCATTGCTCGTTGTCAATGATTGATGACGCCGTGCTACTGCACCTTTAGGTTCTTTTACACGACGGACCCATGGTTGAAGACACGAAGGGACTTCTCCTAAAAATGCCCCACATCCACTGTTCCCCTTGGTAGTTCCCCCAAATAAGGGGACCCCAATATAGGCTCCAAAATATTGCAATCCTTATCATACGCATCCCCAAAAGGATACCCCCAATTTTGGAAACCCCCCTTAATTAAGGCCTTAGCCTTCCGGAATCCTGGATCCCATTGCGCCCAAAGTGATACCGCTACATCCAGAGAGGAGCTCAGTGGTCTGCGGGAGGAGGCAGTGCAGCTGTATGTGGGTGGTAATCAGAATTATGTGCCCTTTTTGCATCCCTATTACAATACGGCACCTAATATTTAGGGTATTCAAAAAGGGATCATAATTTTGACAACCACCCATGTATATAGATATAGATATATATATATTATTACATATATGGGGTGACTTGACGGGTCAGTTTCTAGGCTTGGGGGACTTTCATAGTTCCCAGCTTGTGCATCGGTCTTGAGACAAGCAGAATTGGAATCCTTCGATTTTTTAGGTAGATGAGGCCCCGGCTTCCGTGTAGCTTAAAGTTATGGGTGCCGCTGACTTGCTTCCTGACTCTTTAGTCGCAGAAGGAAGGACTTTGCGACAGTAGTTCAGACTTCATTTGTTTTGGTAAGGCTTCTTAAGTGTTAAAGCGGCAGGAACATTCAAGACTTGAAGGCATGTGGCAATGTTTGAGGCATGCCTTCCTGTGACGAACTGCATGGCGGCATGAACGTTTGGATACCTAGCTTTTCAAAGACGTTAGCGCAAGGCTTCACGGTAAGGACTGAACCTATCTTTTCCGGTGGCCATTGTAGGACCCAGTCTTCCAAACACTTATGCATCCTATATAACCCCTGTATAACCCATTATGGTAGTTTCCATTTTCCGTTATTCCTATATATTCCTATATATTCCTATATAACTTATATTACCCTACATTATCCATAGGTAATTTAGATGTATTAGGAAACACTGTATGTAATGGCGCCGCAAACACACACGTGTGCTTTGCGGCACAGGTGATTCTTTTCATTGATGAGATCCATATGGTCCACAACTCAGTTCAGGGGGGCCATCGCAAATAGATGCACACCTAAGCACAAAATAATCTGCACAGAGCATGCCCTGAATGGGCAGCGGCCCGAAATGTCCGCCATGTTCTGCTTTCACGATCTTGCAAAGATTAGAATAAGAGTCGGCACGAGAGTGTAGACACCCTAAACCCTAAACCCTATATAATCCCCTATATCACCCCCTGAGTAATCAGTTTAAAAATTGAACTGATACGTACTGCAGTGTACAGCTAAGTGCATTGTAGGCTTTTGGCTTCTCTGGTCTT